CAAACACCCGACCGCCCAGACCCCCGCCTCAAACCGCAGTTCCCGACTTCGAACCCGGACGCCGTGGGAAGACGGACATCCCACGGGCCACAGCGCGTGGCGTGAGGTGCGTCAGCATGAAAGTGTCCGCCCGCGTGTCCCCATGACCACCTCCCGTGCCCCACGGAAGATGCCACTGAGAAGGGACACCCCAAACAAGGGCGCAGCAAGCGCGTGCGATGGGCCGAGCAGAGCCTGGCTCAGGGGACCCGAAAGGACTCCAGGACAGCATGTCCCCAAGAAAACCAGCGGACAGGAGCCTGAGGCGCGGAGACAGACGACGAGAGCTGAGAAGTTATGGGCCAAACTGTGTCCCCCAAAATTCCTACGTCAGGGTCCTCACACCCAGTACCTCGGAACGTAACTGTATTTAGAAATACAGTTTTTAAAGAGATAGTAAGTTAAAATGAGGTCACTGGGGTGGGCCCGAGTCCAATGGGACTGTGTCCTCGTAAGAAGAGATCAGGACACAGACACGCAGAGAGACGACCACGTGGGGACACAGGGAGGAGATGGCCGTCTACGGCCCGAGGAGAGAGGCCTCGGGAGGAACCGGCCTGCCCTCCCCTGAACCTCGGGCTCTGGGCTCCAGACTGGGAGACAGTAAATCCCGTTTAATACCTCCCCCACCCCAGGCTGCGGCATTTGTCACTGCAACGAGCCGAGTGACACGATAGTGACACAGAGCTATTAGGGGTCCAGCCAGCAGGAGGTGCCCCGCCCACCCCCTGGAGGCCCAGCAGCTGGCACAGAGCCCCTCCCCGCCAGGCGAGTGGCCTGCGACTCCCCGGCCGTCTCCCAGCACCGGCCCCCACGGCCCCGAAACCCACCACGGAAAACAGGCAGGTTCCGGACACAGCGCTGAGCTGGATGCCGAAGCCCATCTGGCGACTTACAAATCCACGTCAAGGACAAAGGGCAAAGGCTTCAGACAGACTCGGGGACTCCCGGGCAGGGCGCAGAGGAGGAGGGGAGAGGCGGCCATGGAGAGAGCCACCTGGGTGAGGCCGAGCGCAGGCCAGTGCCCGTGTCGGTGGGTTTCACAAAGTCAAGCAACCGTCCTCAGCCTCCAAGGACCAAGCCACCTCTGCTCACACTCACCACCCTAGGAGCCAGAGTCCCCGGGCGGGGCAGTACTGGCACCGGCCACTAAGCCACCCAGGAGATTGACCCACAGGTGCTGCAAACTTCCCGATGACCCTGGGTGGCCCCGGCCCCAGTGGGGGACCCCGCCCGGCCCCCGCTACCTCTTTAGTCACTCTTCTGTCTAGCTCGTTGAAGAGGTTCTGGAACTCGTCCGCTGACAGCAGGCCAGTGCCGTAGGAACGCACCTTCTGCAAAGCAGGGGGCACACAGGTCAGCCCGGGCCCAGGGCAGGGCAGGGAGCCCAGAGAAGGAGCACGGCCACCTAGCCCCACCCGGACTGGACGGGGCCAGCCCCAGAGCCTCTGACCCACACCCTCGTCCCAGAGAAGGGCCCAGCCACGCCTGCCGGGGAGGGCGGGCAGCCGGTACCTCCACGATGGCCTTTCTGTGGGTGCCATCCATCTGGACTTTCTGAAGTACCTGCACGAGGTCCTGGGGCTTCACCCCGACTCTGTGGGGAAAAGCACACACACCCCAGTGAGCCCAGAGCCTCAGTGCCCGGTGGCACCCTGGGCAGCGACAGGAGCCTCGCAGGAGGAACTGGCCATGGGCACAGCACAGCCACTGTCGTCTAAAACCCCGAGAACTGTCGGAGGCCGTACAGAGGCACGGAGCAGTGGGCTGAGGGCCGGGACTAGAGGCTTCCGTGCCAACGCCGACACCGCCTCTAGCCAGGCAGAGCCGGGCCCACGTCCCTCTGCCGCTGACACCAAGTAACGGCACAGCGGGGTGGGGAGGGAGCAGCAGGGTGAGCAGCCAGCGTCCCTCACCAGCCCAGGACCTCAGGGGTCATGAGGACAAACGCATTAGCTCAGACACGCGGACCGCGGAAGCGGGAGCAAGGCCACAGGACAGTCCTCGAGACCCCAGCGGAGCAGGCTCGGCTCAGAGTGCTGCTCAGGAAGCACCCCGGGCACAGCGGCGGCAGCCCCCCTTCCTGAGGGAGGGGCCCCAGAGCCGGCCCTCACCCTCGAGGGTGGGCCTCCCCCTCTGCCGGCGTGCAGAGGACTTCGTAGGCAGCCCGAGTCCCCAGCCGCTTCCGGAACAGTGAGGCCTGGAGAGACTTCTGCAAGGGAGGTTGGCTCTGAGTGACCACACGGCCCGGGCGGCCTCTGAGCGCACCCTGCCCACCCACAGCCTGGGGAGCAGCCCTTCGCCCCTCTGCCTCAGAGCAGGGAGCCCGACGGCCACCGCTGTCATTCACTGAGCTGGGTGTTTCTTAGTGCACTGGGGCCCCCAGCTCCCCACACAGTGGGTTCAGGGTCAGTTGCCTGCAGACCTGTAATCTTCCTGCAGCTTCCCTCTAGAGGAAGTGGGGCAGGGGAGGAAAGCCCTGGGTGGCCCTGGGGACAGCACGGAGGGAGCAGGATGTGACACAGCTCCAGCTAACCCACAAGAGGGAGCCAGGGGGCATCGCAGAAACCACTGCAACCGGGGCCTCCCACCCCCACCCCACCCCCTAGGGGGGCCTGGCCAAGGCCCGCCCCCTCCCGCACCAGGCTGCTCAGCTCAAGTCACGCCCCGCGTGGCGTCCAGGAGGCAGCTTGGCTCACCACCAGGTAGCCCCGGAACTGATTGTAGATGATGGCTGTCAGCAGGTTCATCAAAAACAAGCTCCCTTCAAGAGAAAAGGCCACGGTCGGCGGGGACCACCAGGGCTTGTGGGCCCAGAGCTAGGGGTGGCACCTAGGAGCCCAGAGGATCACACAGGCACGGCAAATCCAGGGGTGCCAGCAAGAAGGGCCTGGACAATCGGATGACCGAGGAGCAGGGAGTAGGGCCTGGGGCGCGTCACTCAACATCCGGCCTCCCTGTCCTCGGCCATGCAACGCAAGTGCCACCTGGCAAGCGTCCTGAGAGCCAGGGGTCTGCCCCCACTGCCCCGGGGGCAGGCGGCACGGAGCCCCCCTCAGCCCATTCCTAGCGACGGGTGTTCGCCCTGAGTCCCAGCAGACCGAGCAGGCAGGCGTGGCCACGGGACGGCGGCCACCCTTCTTCCCCTGGCACCGGAGGGCACCGCTGCTGCAGCCCCCCGCGACTCCCCAGTCACATACCAGCCTGGGTGTGGGAACCGGTACGTGGCCAGAGTCGAGAGCTCCAAAACCTTTAATTACAGAAGAAAAAAAGGCTTCACTACAGCAGTGCTAATTTCGGTGGCTTTAAATGAGTCACAAAGCTCGGTTTAACACGTCCTCCCCAGAAGGGGGTTTCGGGGGGAAATCGGAGCTCGGTCCTTGTCCCCATGGGTTGGTTCCAAATGTCAGGACTTCCTGAAGCTGAGACAGACTCTGGTCTCAGGAATCAGGGGGCCCGCACTCACTGCCCAGCCCTGGCGCTGAGGATGGAGGTCATCAGTGGTCACAGACTGCGAATCAGCCGGTGGGCCACGCTGAAGTGAGTTGCGGAGTCGGGGCGGCCCACATGCCCGAGCGTGCGTCCGGGCAGAACCTTGCCCTGGTAACCCCACAGCTCCTCCTAGACTCACCTATCAGGGTGAAGACTATGAAGAAGATGGCGTAGGCCCGGTTCTTGGAGTACGCAGGAATCATCACTGCGGGGAGGGGGAGCAGAGACGCTGGAACACTCCTAGCCTCAGCGTCTGGTCCGGTCCCCATCACAGCCTGGCCACCTGCCTTCTGCAAAGGTGGCTCTGCTTCGGGGGGCTGGGAGGCCTGGTCCGAACTCCGACCCTCGCATCTCCTCTTGAACCCCCATTAATGGGGAGCTCACCATCCAAGGATGCCCTTCCTCATGCGGAGCTAAAATCTTCCCCCTGCAACCACTCAGCTCTCCCATGGGTGACTCGCCAGGACTCTTGGGACATGTGGGGACAGTGCTCGGGGCCCCGCTGCACAGCTGGGTGTGGAGGCCAAGGGCTGCCCCCCGGAAGGTCTCTACAGTCAGTGACCATCCCTGAGCCCCAGATGAAAGGCACAAGCCGGGGTGGCCGGGCCGCAGCCAAGTCACAGAGGACCGCAGCGCCCCATCCCGGCCACACCCCGGCCGGAGCAGACGGGCCCCACGAGTAACCGCGAAGGGAACGCCAGGGCCACCTGAGACCCCAGGGCCTCTGACGCACACTGCCGGGCCTGCAAGAGGTGGCCACCAGGGGGACCCACTGAACACACTGCTACTGTCCGTTGTAGCTTCTCAGAGGAGTCAGGACAGAAGAGCAAAGAGGGAACAGAGAAAGAAGGACAGAGCAAGAAAGTGAGATAGGAAGGAAAAAAAGGAGAAAATAAGTAAAAAGGGGAAAGAAACAGAAAAGAGGAAGCAGGGAGGGCAGACCCCGCTTTACTCCCGCGGGCTGCAAAGGGGCCTCAGCGCCCGGCCCAGCCCGGCCCGCACACACCGCCCCGCACGCACCGTCGGGGTTGTTGGCGGTGGTCAGCAGCACCAGCAGGGACGTCAGAGCCTCCGGCAGGCTGCGGAAGTAGGTCAGCCTCTCCTTGTCCTGCCCGTCGCCCTGCTAAGAGCAGAGTGGCCACTCTGAGGAGCCACTCGGGCCTCCTCCCCGCCAGCAAAGGCCTGAGGCCGGCAGAGCTCCAGCCTCTGGACCGGCCAGGACGGACCACCCACTGCGGGCTCAGCGCACTTGACCTGCATCTCCCCATCATTTGCCAGCAGGCTCTAAGCTCAAGGCCAGACAAGCCTGAACGCAAGGTCTCTGGGCCCAGGAGCCGGCGTCCAGGGAGGCCACCCCTCCACACGGACACCAGCCCCTGAAGCAGGCCCACCCGGAGCTGCAGTGAGCAGCTCTGGGCGGGCCTGGTGACCGAGACCACACACAGGTGCCGGCCAGCCTGCTTTCGGCCCGACTCTGCCATGCGCTGTACCATGCGCAGTGAGGCCCAAGGTCAGGGGCGAGAGGAACAGAAGACCGTGTCTCAAGAGAGCGCACGGCGGGGTGCCAAGGTGGGGGGAGAGGACGGGGCTGCAGTGGCCCGGGGAGCCCACCTCTCTGGGACTCGGGCCGCACCTGCCCCACTCTGTGTCTGGGGACTCGCAGGCCTGGCACGCACCGCGTGCTTTTTCACACCCGGGCCCCCACCCCTCTCCCTCCTGGGGTGAGGGGGTCCCACTCATTCCCGATGTGTTCTCCAGGTCAGGATGCAGGGGTCCTGAGGGGGGCTGAGGACAAGGAACCCACCCAGGTGGGTCGATGTCACGCCCCTCTGAACTGACAGTGGGAAGGGACCCGGCTGCTCCCCAGGACCCGGACGCCCCACCGCCCCCAGCCCGGCCCCGAGGGGCGGAGCACAAAACCGCAAGGGGGCCTACACCTCACGGGCACCTTGGGGCACTCAGCCTTCCCAGGTCAGGGGCCCACCTCTGGCCCCGTGCCCGCTCTGCCACCCACCCGTCCTGCGTCTGTGGGGCAGCAGCAACAGCACTGTCACTGGGGGCCTGAAATTCTGTCGGCTGGTCCACCTCGGAGCCCAGCTGCACCCGCCACCCACAGATACACAAACACACATGCACACACACATGCACACTCACGCACATGCACACACACACGCACCCACATATGCGCACGTGCACACACACATACATGCACACTCGCACATGGCTGGCCCAGGGGTCAGGGGGACAGTCCTCAGCCTTCTGTCACGGGCAGCAGAGCCCCAACCCCCTAAACGTTGCCATGCCCTAATGAAGAACAGCGCTGGCCGAGCACCGGCCACATTCCCAGGAAGGAGATGCAGGACACCACCAGCTCCGAGGACAGTGACCCCAGCCAGGACAGGAGAGAAGACACGTGGGACCACGGATGTGCAGGGTGGGGGTGCCAAGGCAGGGACCGAGGGCCTGGTGACATGTAGCAGGCCTGTCCACACAGCAGCAAGCTGCCAGGGGCTGGGAAACAGGGAGGGGCTGGAAGGGGGTGCCCAGGTGCAGAGGGCAAAGCCCACAGCTGGAAATGAGGGACGTGGTGAGAGGTGCCTGTCTGGGCAGGTGGACGGGTGAGAGGCAGACAGGTGGTGAGGTCACCCCAAAGACCTCCAGCACCAATCTGAGGGAGCCCGTCCAAGAGGGGTGCAGAGGAAGCCCAGAGCAGACGGGCGCCTTGACGGGTGGCAGCAGGACACTGGCCGTTTGAAGAAAGACACCAAACTTCCGGTAGGCAGGCCACCGCTGACCCTGCTCCGAGGCAGGGAGTGGCCTGTCTGACCCCTTCTCCGCTGGCCGAGAACTACCCAGCAGAGCTCCCACCGGGGAACTGGCCCGGGACCCCTGCGACGGGCCAGGGCACGGAGCACGGCCAGTACCTTCTCCCCGGTGAAGAGCAGCACCCCGAACACGGTGAAGACACACAGGTGGAGCACCAGGAGCAGCAGGACGCTGGAAGGGCGGGCACGGGCCTCAGCACCTGGCAGGCACCCACGTGCCCGACGGGGCAGGCGCCAGGGACCCAGCGACCCAGGGAGCTCCCGGCAGCGGCCCCTGGGCCAGTCCCCTCCTCCGCCCCACAGCCTGCCACGCGCTCGGCCCTGCTGGAGAGTCTTTGCTGTGGCAGGGACAGTTCACAACCCAGGGGCGTGTCCCGAGGGCCCAAGGACCCCAGGGACTGTCTGAGGGGAAGCCCGCTTCCATCCACCTGGGCTGGATGTGAGGGGCGGCCACGAGAGTCCCTGAGGGAGGGGACGGCAGGCAGAGGAAGCAGGACTAGGGGGGCCGGCGGCAACCAGGGGCAGAGTGGAGGGACAGCGGGGAGGGGAGCGGCTGCAGCCACCATGGGCACAGAGGGGAGCATCGCAGCTATCGAAGGACGCAAGGCCACTAATGGATCCAGAACCAAAGGCGTGGGTGCCTGACAGTCGAGCCCTCGGCCAGGGAGACAGCCAGCGCGGACAAAGCCCCCAGCAGCCCCAGACCACGTGCCAGGTGGCACCCCGGCCCGCCATGCAAGCCGGGCACAGAGCCTACCTGGCCATTTCCCACAGCGACCACCTGATGCATTTCAGCGTCTTCTTCATCATGGACGAGTTCTGCAGCAGGAAGAAGGGCCGCAGGAGCCGCCGCAGGCGCAGGGGCTGCAGAGACCGGGGGTGCACTCAGCGCCTGGCCCGGCTCCCCGGGTCCCCAGCCCCCCGCAAGGCCCCGGGCAAAGAGCAGAGATCAGTGCTCACGCCGCAGCCCGCCCAACCCTGCAGGCCCACTGACCCCACAGAGGGGGCGGCCGGCGCACCTCAGTGCTCGCCGTGGGGCAGCCGCCCCCACCCCGGGGCCACTGCCTGCCTCCCCGGGGGTGCACTCAGCGCCTGGCCCGGCTCCCCGGGTCCCCAGCCCCCCGCAAGGCCCCGGGCAAAGAGCAGAGATCAGTGCTCACGCCGCAGCCCGCCCAACCCTGCAGGCCCACTGACCCCACAGAGGGGGCGGCCGGCGCACCTCAGTGCTCGCCGTGGGGCAGCCGCCCCCACCCCGGGGCCACTGCCTGCCTCCCC